AGAGACAAATGCAATCACATAGCAGGATGCTATACACAGGCCAAACTTCAGTCAGGAGAACAACTGAGATTATTCATCCACAATACGAGGTTAGTTATTAATATACTGCAACAACATGGGAACAGAGCAGCTGCGAGAGAATTCAACATTAATGAATCAATGTTACGGATATGGAGGAAGCGCAGTTTTTGGCTTTCCCCATATTTCAAAAGTGCTTCCTCTCTTTGTCGACTGTCGGCATAATTTGCAGATGATAATGGTTTTAGCCGCTGCGATGCTTTCGACCAAAACAGGCGTAGCTTGATGACATCATCAACATGCGCTATCGTGATAGAGCGATATAGTCAAAATCTCTATTGTTGGCCAAATTTATATCGTTTCTATCGTATATCGTTTATATCGCCCACCCCTAATGTGAAGTTCATGCCAGCAGGCTTCACTGTACATCCACACATGTGCAGAATGTAAGGTGAGAAACTTTTACATAAGTTACTGAACTAATGCGGACATGGAATTCCAGGTATGTGAGAATTGAAGCCACATGTACCTGAGTGTTACATTGTCAGTGATATGATCATAAAATTAGTTTATTGATTTTGAATCTGATCCTGACATACTTTCTTTCATAGCATCAAACATCGGAGGTGCCCCTGAAGCTACTTTAGTGATAACAGAATAATAATTTAGTTCTGCACGTTTCATTTCTTGTAGTTTCAACAGATTAGTTGGTGTTTAACATCACTAATACACAAATAATCATGAACACCAGTTTACCAAAACTTTACAAAAGAATATTTTTTTGTTTTTCATTTCAGATGTTTATTCTTTGTAGTTTTTATTTACAGTAACTTAGTAAAAATGTGAATAATAAGAATAATTCTCATCATCTTCTCTCATACCTGCAAACCTTTAACTTAAGCTAATATAATCTGTTTTATATAATCTATTATTTTCACCAGACTTGGGTAAGAAAAAACCCAATAAAAGCAACATCACAGAGCAAACATCAAACGGGCTCCAGGAACAAAAAGCTCTGTGCGATTGGTGTCAAATGTCTCCTTCGGAGCAGGTCGGGCGAAGCTGAGCCAAGCACTGCACATGACCCAATCAGGAAGTGGCTGAATCCCTCAGCACAACAAACAATGACCTCTTAGAAGCACAACAGTGTTCATTATTCACTCGTACCACAACGCCTTGTGTTTTATTTTTAGGGATTCATCTAAATTCAGCGACACCAACAGTTTGCAACACCGAGCTGATGCAGGGACAGAGAAAGTCAACGACTGTGAAGCTTCTGTAAACCAAGGGGAATATTTTAGGTGGTCGGGCGTTGTGCTCCTCTGTCTGTGATCATTTATTACATTTTTCAGATGACGTCCAAACAGAGTGAAGAGCAAATATTACACTGAGCCAGGGGCTGATCTACAGCTGCCCCCCAACTTTTACCTCCGTCACTTTTAGGAGAGCTTGAGCTCTTTCCTTGGCCCGTCGGGTCGGCTGGATGCGGTTTGTTTAAAACCCTTTTTTTTTTATTTTCATCTAAAATGACAGAAATATGCTTTAACACATCTCTGGTCTGTTTTGTTCTCAGAACTAAACTCTGGCTTCCTCCCACAGTCCAAAACATGCAGTAAGTGGGGACAGGTTAATTGGTAACTAAATTACCCACAGGTGTGAATGCGAACGGTTGTCTGTCTCTATGTGAGCCCTGCGGCAAACTGGCAACCTGTCAAGGGTGAACCTGGCTCTCGCCCTAATGCAGCTGGGATAGGCTCCAGCAGCCTCGTGACCCTGACAAGCATAAGTGGAAGAGAATGGATGGTTGGTTAAAATTCCACACAGAGTGTTGTTATATTAATATTTAAAAACGTCAATGCACATATCTGAAGTCAGTGTGGGAGGTGGTGAATAAAAAGCACGACAGAAATAAAAACTGCAGACTGAGCCACCATCACACTCACCTGACCTCCTGCCCTCTGTGCTTTTGGTTCAGCAAAGATGGCACAACTCCCATGTTTACATGATAACATGCAAACACAAGATAAATCTACAACTCTGGGCTCCTGTGCCAAGGAGGGGAAAATCCAAACAGAATTCATGTACTCTAAGAAACGAGCCTTCAGCTAAACTCTCGTGACGCCCTGATGTTTCGCCTTAAAACGGCTGATCCTGGTCAGAGTTTTGTGCCAGGTTTTACTCAACTACTTACAGAATGTTCTGCAACATTAAAGCATCACAAACATCAGTGGGACACCGAATCACCACAATCAGAATCAGAATACTTTATTGATCCCTGGGGGAAATTATTTGTGATTAGCTGCACTTGCAGCCGCCCAAAGGCAGTAAGCCCACGCGCCAACAATACACAACATGTTTGAGGTTTTGTGCGTGGTGCTTTTAAAGCAGAACTATTAAATACAGGAAGTCCAGATTGGGAAATGAGAAGTCCTGCTATATGATGGAGGGACGACTGGTGTCATTTACTTTAAATATAGTTTCTTGTGTTATGCATTTAGTTGTTAGATTTAATTACTGCTAACCTAAAGAAACTATTAAACTGGTGGTTTTGTTGA